TCCCACGGGTGCCAAAAAGCATGGCATATCTAGTTGAGGTAGAACTAAGCTCCTGACATGGAGACTTCTTATTAATTATGAATGCCCGGCCTTATCTCATGCTTGTCCCACTAGTTCTTATAACTTAAATTAACCTGTTTCTCTTCGTCAATGTTTTGCACTTCTTACCCTTTCTTTCATTCTGTGCGTCCTACTTTGTGTCTGGCTGGCGGCTGCTGGCCCTAAACATCTCTCTCCCCATCCCTCATTCTCTTCTCATACCTTCACCCTCACCCTCTCGCCTAGATTCCTCCTCCTACTTATTCTTTCTGCCCACCAGTCCCAACTATCCCTCTACTGCCTAGCTGTTGGCTGTTCAGTTTTTTATTAGACCAATCAGGTATCTTAGGCAGGCAAGGTAAAACAGCAGAACAGCTTAGCATAATTAAAGAAATGTAGCATAAACTAATTTAACAGACCTCTACATAGCTAAAGTAATATTCCACAGCAGAAACAAATTTAACACATGTTTACATAGTTAAAGTAGCATTCCATAAAAATGGTGGCACATGTCTTTAATCCCAGCTCTTGGGAGGCAGAGGCAGGCAGGTAAGCTTGAGGCCAGCCTGGTCAATATAGCAAGTTCTAGGACAGCCAGGTATGCTATATTGTAAGATCCTGTTTCAAAACAATAATAAAAACAACAAAATATATAGCCATGCTTTTTCCATAACAGAAAACAGAAGCAAAGCTGTGGCTGGAGGGCAGAGCGACAGCAAGCGTCTTCCTTGCATCCTCCTCATCCTCAGTGTCTCTCATGAGCCAGGCACCGGCTGATTTGGCTAAGCTTGTTCCCAGGAATCCTCCTGTTTCTGCTCCCTAGTGTTTGGATTGTAAATGTGTCTCACCCAGTGCCTGGTGTGGAATCCAAATTCAGGTCCTTGTGCTTGCAGAACAAGCACTTTTTCAAGAGAACCATCTCCCAAGCCCCCACACTGTAGATTTCTTACAATCAGCATGGTTCCAGTTCTGGCTAGTTTATTCTTTGTTGTGGGAGAGCTGCCTTGTGCAATGTAGAATGTCTTTTCTGCACCTCTGGCTTCTATTCAAAAAATGGCCAAAATACACTGTGGTAGTTTGAATGAGAATGGTCCTCATAGGCCATTAGATCTGTGTGCTCAGTTTCCAGCTTGTGTACTGTCTTGGAAGGGTGCAGTGTGTGGCCTTATTGGAGGAGGTGTATCACTGTGGGAGGGGTGAGCTTTGAGGTTTCACAAGCCCTGATCAGTCCCAGTGTCTGTTTCTCTCTTCTTGCTGCCTGTGGATCAGAATAGAAAGCTCGCAGCTCCCATGCTTGCCTGTTTCCCACCATGACGATCATGGACTAACCATCTGAAACTGTAAGCAAGCCCCCAATTAAATACTTGTTTAAAATAACAAATGCCTTGGTCGTGTGCTGACTGAGGTTTCTGTCCTGCCCAGTTCCCACAGTCGTTAAGTCCCAAAGAAATCACACAGACGTCTACATTAATCATAAACTGATTGGCCCATTAGCTCAGGCTTTTTATTAACTTTTATAACTTACACTAGCCCATTATTCTTATCTGTGTTAGCCTCATGACTCAGTACCTTTTTCAGGACTGCAGAGGGAGCTTCTCTCTTTCCAGAATTCTCCTGTTCTCATTGACCCACCTCTACTTCCTGCCTGGCTACTGGCCAATCAGCGTTTATTTAAAACATAATTGACAGAATACAGACAATTGTCCCGCACCAGTCGTGGTGTCCCTTTATAACAACAGAACAGTGCCTAAGACATACACTTTTCCCCAAGTCACAACATTCAAAGCTACTTCTAGGCCCTCCCCAGCCTTAGGCAGGAGAATCATCACACATTCTCAGTCATCCTGTGCTACATAGTGAGACCAGGTCTCTAAAACAACCACAAAAAATGCTTCTTGGACTGGGCATTGGCTCATTGTGTTCTACCATTTGTGGGGCACAGGTAGAGCTTTAGACTCCCTTCCCCCTCAATTTATTTATTTATTATGTGTGCAATACTCTGTCTGCGTGTATGTCTGCAGGCCAGAAGAGGGCACTAGACCTCATTACAGATGGTTGTGAGCCACCATATGGTTGCCGGGAATTGAACTCAGGACCTTTGGAAGAGCAGGCAGGGCTCTTAACCTCTGAGCCATCTCTCCAGCCCCGGAAATAAAAGTCTTTAAATATTTCAAATTATGGGCTGGAGAGATGGCTCAGAGGTTAGGAGAACTGACTGCTGTTCCGGAGGTCCTGAGTTCAATTCCCAGCAACCACATGATGGCTCACACCCATCATGAGATCTGGTGCCCAGAACACTATATACATAAAATAAATAAATTAAAAAAAATTCAAAGTATTCCTAATTAATGGTATGGTTGAAAAGTTAAAATATCCTCCTTAGTTACACATCTGTCTTACTGATCTGGTTCTCTCTCTGTCTCTCTCATGCATCATTTCAATTTACAGTTAAACATTTTAGGTTTTGATTTTGGAGACTGAACCAGGCTTTGTACGTGTTAGACACATGCTCTACTTATTATGCAATAAAAATATTTTTACAACTCCAAAATTTCCATGGCAAACTCGGCATATTTCTTCAGCCAATCAACCAATGAAAACAGAGCAAGCATTTTATAAACGGAAAAAAAAATAGGGTTTGGGAATATAGCCAGGCATGGCGGCATGTGGTTGTAGCCTTAGGCTTGGGGTAAGAAATAGGGTGACAGAGACAGGTGGGCCTGAAGTCATTAGCCAGTCTGGATAGCCAAACTGGTGAGCTTCAGTGACAGACCCTATCTCAAAAACATAACATTGGAGAGCCCTCGAAGTTAAAGACCCGACACCATCCCCAGCTTCTACATGGACTATCACCTCCATTCACATATTCACACCACAAACATACAAAACCACACACACACACACACACACACACACACACACACACTATTGTATATATTGTATGATATATTGTACGATCTGACTGTTATAGCTTCTGTAATTAAGAGACTGGGAAAGATCGAAGAATCATATAGCTCAGGCTGCCTTTGAACTGCTCCTCCTGTCTCCAACCTCCCCAGGGCTGGGACTGCACACTTGTACCGCCACAGACACAGCTGGCCCAGCTGGGTTAAATCTGTCAAACTGTAGTGACGCCTTGTTTCAAAAGCCGGGAGGTGGAAGCTGAAGAGTAGAAGCTAAAGGTCCTCTCTGAGAACATCAAAGTACAAAACAAGACAAAAATCTGGAAAAGTATAACACCACCACCAACAACAACAAAAAATGAAACCCAAGCCATTGTCCCAAACCTGGAGCAAACAACAACCCCATTCTCCCACCAGCTCACTTCTCGCTAACATACCCAGTTCAAAGTCCCTACAGGGAGCTTCATACTTCTTATCTCTGCCTGGCGCAGGCTCCTTTAAACGTCACTTGAAAGCTGCCTTCCAGCTTTCCACTAAATCCTAAATTCTCCACTCAAGGCAGATGAGGGCCTCGCATCTCACTTTCTCTTCCACAGAGTATCCATCACTCCTTCACATGAACCATCGTTGGAAAGGCACAGGAAAGCAGAGACCCTGCCACTAAGAGACTCATTAGCCTGGCGCACAATCAGTCAACGCTATGTTAACAGGAAACAATGTAGCTTTCACTTATAACATACTCCAAATGGGTTGGAGTTAAACGTACTTTTAAAAAGTTTTATTAATTTAGCTGGGCGGTGGTGGCGCACGCCTTTAATCCCAGCACTCGGGAGGAGGCAGAGGCAGGCAGATCTCTGGGAGTTCGAGGCCAGCCTGGTCTACAAGAGCTAGTTCCAGGACAGGCTGAAAAACCAAAAAAGAAAAAAAAAGTTTTATTAATTTACTGTGTGTATGAATGTGTGTGGATAGATGCATAACACAATGTGGAGGTCTGAAGACAACTTGTGGGAGCTGGTTCTCGCACCTTTACATGCTGAATCTCACTGGCCTTAAATATAATTAAATCTCTCTCTCTCTCTCTCTCTCTCTCTCTCTCTCTCTCTCTCACCTATCTATGTGTCAATCTATCAATCATGTATCTATAGGTATTTAATAAATGTCTGTTCTGCTGGGGTTGTGGCAGAGCACTTGTCTAGCATGTCTACATCTTGGGTTAAATACTCAGTACCACAGTAGGTAGGTAGGTAGGGGATGGATAGATAGATAGATGGATGGATGGATGGATGGATGGATGGATAGGATGGATGGATGGATGGATAGATAGATAGATAGATAGATAGATAGATAGATAGATAGATAGATGGATGGATGGATGGATAGGATGGATAGATGGATGAATAGATAGATAGATGGATGGATGGATGGATGGATGGATGGATGGATGGATAGATGGATAGACAGATGGATAGATGGATAGATAGATAGATAGATAAATAGATAGATAAATAGATGGATAGATAGATAGTTACACATAGACTGAGCCCCCCGCACTAGTGAAAGTGCCCCCCCCCCCCCACCCACCCTGCCCCGCCCCCCCCCCCCCCCCCCCCCAAGATCCAGGGTCTTAGGACTTCATATCCTTGTCGCATTTAAATTTGTCACATAAATTCCACAGAAATAGTTTGCTTAGATTTCTCCTGTAGACCCCAGTGTGCTGTGAATGAAACCCCACCTTAAGTCCTGGACCAGGCAGGATTCTGCTGTGGCTGAGGCAGCACCACCCCTCGCCACTACTCTGATCTTCGCTGATCACTACTGTAGACCCCGCCCCCTGGCGCGTTCCCACCTCCGCCCCCGCCCAGACGACCCACTCTGCCATACTATTGGGTGGTTCTGTCAAATTCGAGTTCTGGTTGGCTGAAGTGGCCATCAGTTAGGGGTGAAAAACCTTGATAACCCGGCCCGAGCTTCGAAGGGGCGGGCTCGGGTGCTGTGCGGGCGCGGCCGGGGCTGCGGATTCAGGTAAAGTCCAAACTTGCCGGGATCCCCATGGGGGTCCTAGCGGGGAAATTCAGGACACAAGTGTCCCAGGGGGGAGGGACGGGACGCGGCTCATTCAAACCCTTCTATGGGCTCTGTGCTCAGCGACGGGGTGGGCGCCCTGTCCTGTAATGGTGATTCTTCGGACACTGGGAGCCCCAGGTAGATTAAAGCCTAGCCCGGGAGGGGAGCGCTATATTGAGCAGATCGCTGCCACGTAGCCATCCAGGACCCAACGGGAGAGCTTGTGCTCACCGTAATCTCCCAGATGCCAAGGGACCCTTCGCCAGAGTTGGTTTGGGGACTTGGGACTGGCTCTTTCGGGATGTGCTTCTTGCAGGGGGGTGGAGGGGGCGGGTGATACGGAAACGGTGTTGGAGGGAGGCACGGATGGCCCCCCGGACCCATAGACAATAGTAGCGGATGGAACCGCCCAGCGGCTTTTCCTGTAGGAAACTGCCCTGTCTTTTTGAATCTGACCTGGTTGTGTTTGTTTGGGGAGGGGTGTGTGTGATAAACCAAGGATCCTTGTTCTACCATGCTCTACCCCCACCCCACGTCATGAATCTGAGAATCCCGCCAACATTAACGGGGTGCCATCATCAGAGCCTTAGGTAAGGAAGACATACCCTCTTCAGGACCTCGGGTGCGCACTGCGTGCTCTGTAGTCTCCCAACCTTCAGGTTTCCTGATAGAGCTCTGTATTCCGAAATAGCTCCAGGGGCGGGTGTGGGGGCGTGTGGCTTCAGCTCTGATGTCCTAATGAGGGGGTCTCAGGCAGGGGATCTGAATTTAGCTTTGACAACCAGGCAGTGTGGGAGAAAAGAGGGCAGCTACACGCCCCATTCCAGGAGGCATTGGCTTGTGGAGCAGTCTAGGTGGGGGCTTGCTCCACCACACTCGCTACTCCCCCAATCAAGGACCCATGCTGCGCTGACTGGTGCTTGCTGGGAGGTGAGCAGTAAGTGGCTCAGGTTCCCTGCCATTTCTGGGGAGGGGAAGGGAATCTTTCCAAAAGGGCCTATAATCGCAGTTACAGGAGAGGTCAAGGTAGGGGAATTGAAAGTTAGGTCCTGCCTGGGCGCTACAGAGTGAACTCAAGGCCTGCATGGGCAACTTAGTAAAGAGTCTTAGGGATCAGCGAGATGGATTGGCCAGTAATGGTGCTTGATGTCATCCCTAACATTCCTGAGTTGTATCCGTGGGATCTACTTGGTGGCAGGAGAGAAGTTCCTGAGTTGTATCCGTGGGATCTACTTGGTGGCAGGAGAGAAGTAACGCCACAGAATTGCCATCTAACCTCCACGCTCACTCCGTGACATTTTTGCACCCACCCACCTCCCACAAAAAATAAAGTGTAATTAAAGAGAAAAGGACTGGTATTGTAGTTCAGTGGTAGAGAACTCACTTAGCATGCTTGAGCCTTAAATTTCATCCTCAGCATGGGAAGGAGGGATTGGGGGCCTGGGAGGGACAGAGAAAGGAAAAACAGGCATTCCTTTGGGTGTGGCCATGCATGCCTGAAATCCTGGCATGTGGGAGGCTGAAGCAGGAAACTTTGAAGTCGGAATGAATAGATAAATACAGGTCCCCAGCGTGGTGGTGGTGCGTGCCTGAAATCGCCAGTACTCCAGGAGCAGAGGCAGGAGAATTTCTGTTAGTTTGAGGCCATCCTGGTTTACATAGCAAGTTTCAGGTGAGCTAGCACTGTATAGTAAGATTCTGTCTTAAATAAATATATAAAATAAAATAAAATAAACAAAAAGCAAACAGGACAATATTCGACAGTGACAGGACAAGCTCTGTAAGTTCAGGGCCAGCCAAGTCCAAAACCCTAGCAACTACAGAACCCGCAAACTTCCAAAACAAGCAAACAAAACAACAAAATAAAATGGGTTGGTGAGATAACAGTTGCCTCTAAGTCTGAGTTCAGGCCTTGGTGCCCACATGGTCGAGAGCACCGACTCCCACAGCTGCTTTCCAGCCTTCATACGTGTGTTGAGGCATACATGTGCACCCCCCCCTCAAATGCAGTCAAGTGTAGTCGCTAATACAGGGATCTGAACAATTACATGGATTCAACCCTGCATGCCCATGCATGTTTTTTGGGATATAGCTTACAGCTTCACTGCTCTGCACCTCTGTTCCTCCATCTGTACAGTGGGGAGGGATTAGTGATAACATCGGGACCCGCTGGAGAAGGCGCAGGCTGATGTGCATAAACTACTTAGAAGCTGAGGGAAAAAAGAAAAGAAATGAGGCTGCGGTTCAGTTACTAGAGTGTTTGCTTAGCATGCATGAAGCCTTGTGTTCCATCTCCAGGACTGCTCAACCCAGGTGTGGTGAAGCACATTCTAGCACTCAGGAGGCAGAGGAAGGAGGGTCGAGTTCAGTCACCCTCAACAACATAGAAGTTGGAAGCCAGCCTGGGCTTCCGGAGACCCTGTCTTAAGAACCAAACCAAACCAAACCAGAACCAGTGGGGCTAGAGCAATGGTTGAGCAGTGAAGAGCTAGCACTGCTCTTGCGGTTTGATTGCTGCGTAGCATCTATGTAGCTCTCAGTTTGACTCCAGCTTCAGGGGATCTATAACTTTTGGCCCCCATGGACAAATACTCACACACGGACACACAGACAAACATTTTAAAAAGCCTTAAAAAAACACAAATTGCAAACAGTCAGCAATGATCCTATTGTTATTTACCACCCTACTAATAACCACCCAGCCTTCAGTGCAGCCTGGGCCTGGCTGTTCCTGCTGGCCTGGGTCTTAGAAATGACCTGCAGCTGTTTTTTTCTGTACTACAGCTTTAGATTTGGAAATGGCCAGGTCACTGGAGGAGGGGGCCGGCTGTACAGAATCACACTCCAGCTGTGTGAAAGGCAGTTCCAGACCCCTGAGCATTGCTCCAGGCTTTTTCCAAAAACCAGTTCTTCCCTGACAATTTCCTGAAAACAACGCCGTGAGAGGCACTGGCTGTCCTCCATGGTGACCTGCCAGCCTGCCCCTTGCAGCCGGTGTGAGGGGACAGGAAACAGCTGCTTGGGGTGAGGAGGAGGACTTCAGAGTCTCAGACTGGGGGGAGGATGGGGACAGGGGACTCAGAGAGCAAAAGGGGATGCTTGAAGTAGTGGGCAGGGGGATGTGTTAGGCATGCTGATGGCTGCTGAATAGCCATCCAGAATACTAGACGCTGAAAAGAGCGGCTGGATTCTTCGTTGGTTGGAGCAGAGGGGTGGTGAGCCAGTAGGTGGGTTGGGTCTGCCTGCTGGAAGGCTTCAAAGTCAGCATCTTGACTGGCACTACAACTAAGGGGTCCCCAGAAAGTGGACAGAGTCTAATCGTTTTTCCCCCCATAGGCAATGGACTTAATTGGTCTGCTAAATGTTTTCTTGCCTTTTTGTTTGTTTGCAAGGACAGGATTTCTTTGTGTGACCTTGGCTGTTCCGAAACTAGCTCTGTAGACCAGGATGGCCTTGAACTAAGAGAGATCTGCCTGGGCTGCTCTGTAAAACATGAACAATAATATATGTTGCAGAATTCTTTCGGGGCTAATCAGGGAGAGTATACAGTAGGCAGTCAATCTGAGCCACTTTCTGGCTCTGTGGAGGCTTTTCATAAGCATTCTCTGAAGTTCCATTATCCCATCATTCTGTGTGTGTGTGTGTGTGTGTGTGTGTGTGTGAGAGAGAGAGAGAGAGAGAGAGAGAGAGAGAGAGAGAGAGAGAGAGAGAGAGAGAGGCTTGAGCTCAGGTCCTTATGCACGCTAGACCAGTGCGTGTCTTGAAGCCACACCCCTATCCCTACCCTAAACTGGTTTTGTTTTTCGAGACTTTAGTTGTTCTGAAATTCACAGATATCCTCTTGCTCTGGCTTCTGAGTGTTGAGATTTTCTTTTCTTTCCTTCTTGTTGCTCCCTTCCTTAAAAATTTATCTTATGTCTAGGAGTGTTTGCCTGTATTTATGTATGTAGTTCATGTATGTGCTGATGCCTGATGAGGCGAGAAGAGGGCATTGCATTGACCGGAACTGGAGTTATAGGAAGTTGGGAGCTACCATGTGAGTGCTGGGAACCAAACTTGGGTCCCCTGGAAGAGTAACAATCACTCTGAACTCTTCAGCCCCTTTCTACCTTCCTTTATCCATTTTTTGGTTATATGTATAAGTACCTGAGTGTACATATGTGGACCATGAGTATATACATGTCCCAGTGGCCACTGTTGGATCCCCTGGAACTGGAACTACAGGTGCTGGGAACTCAACATGGGTCAGTTGCAAGAATAGCAAGTGCTCTGCACAGCTGAGCCATCTCTCCAACCCACTTTTCTGAGATAGAGTCTCATGTATTCCATTCTGGCTTCAAGTTCTCCGTAACTGAGGATGATCTGAACTCCTGATCCTTCCGTTTCTACCTCCTAAGTGCTCCGGTGACAGGCATGCATCACTAGCCAGTAGCCAGGGCTTCATGCATGCTAGACAAGCATTTTACCAAGTGAACTATATCTCACTCAGGATTCATTCATTCATTCATGTTTTTGGTGGTGCTGTGATCCAATTCATGTCCTTGTGCATGCTAGGCAAGTGCTATACCACGGAGCCAAATCCCTGCTTCTAGACCGTCACCTACTCACCTCCACTGTCACCTAAGAATCACACCTTCTGAACTCTCTGTCTTCTTAGGGGCTTGTGTTTCCATTATAAAGCCCCACAAGCCAAGAACGGAGCCTTGGAGCACTGTACTGGACACATTCCAGAGAGACAGGCCTTCCTCGGTTGCATCATTGAGCTATCAAGACTTAGACTTTCCATCCATCACTTATTGAAGGGGTTTGCAAGTAACCTTGCTTAAAGTTCCAATGGTTACAGTGGTTACATCTTATCATTTCTCTAAGAAAAATGTAAGAAATGAGTGTGTGTTACCGGGGACTGAACCTACTACCTGGAGAACGCCAGGTGAGCACTGGTCATTGAGCTGCATCCTTAGTTCTGTCTTCACTTTCTGAGACAACATCTGTCTAGGACATTGACTAAGTTAACCGTGTACTCGTTTTTATTTTTTATTTTTTTTTCCCCTTTAAACACAGGTCACACTATGTAGTTCTGGCTGTCCTGGAACTTACTTTGCAGACCAGGCTGGCCTCGAACTCACGAGATCCACCTGCCAAGTGCTGGGATTAAAGGTGTGCACCATTATGCTTGGTTTGTACTTGTGATCCTCTATTACCAGCTTTCTAAAGTGCTGAGATTTTAAGCCTGAAATACTTCCGTTTTTTTTTTTTTTTGGGGGTTTTTTTTTTCAAGATAAGGTTTCTCTGTAGCTTTGGTGCCTGTCCTGGAACTAGCTCTTGTAGACCAGGCTGGCCTCGAACTCACTGAGATCTGCCTGCTTCTGCCTCCTGAGTGCTGGGATCAAAGGCGTGCACCAACACCACCCGGCTAACTTCCGTTTTCTTACTTTTTTCTGCTTGATGTCTTTCTTGCTTCTGCCTTCCTAGATTTGCAACTTGGATGTTCCTCCTTTGTTCACTTCAAATTTCAGCTAAACATGGTGGCGCAGATTTGTCATCCCAGAACTTGGCTGAGGCAGGATTGTGATTCTGAGGCCAGCTTTAGCCGTATAGCAAGACCTTGTCTTAAAACAAAGCAGTAGAGCATTTGTGTAGCCAACACAAAGTCTTGGGTTCCATCAGTAGCATTAACATTTCCAAGGTTCTTGAAGGGAGGAGGAGAGAGCCTGGGAATGGGTGAGGTGGAAGAATGCTCTTGGGTCTGTTTGCTCAAAGTTTCAATGGTGTTATAGCTAACATCAGATTCAAACCAAGGGACAAGGCTGAATTTTCACCCTTACTTCTCTGGGGGACATTTTTCAGGCTGTCTGGTGGCTACTCCAGGAAACATGGCCAAGTTTGTCCTGAATCAGAACCTGCCTGGTGAGTGTACAGAATGATCCCAGATCCCCATTGGGTGCTTTTGTGTATATATGGACATAGTTATCAGTTCCCTCTTATTATTAACACTGTGGCCACAAGGCCCTTCCCAAAATCTTATTAGCCAATGTCATGACTTTATTTAAAACCCACTCATGACACGTCCCATAAATAATGCCCATCCCCATGGTGGTCTAGAGGACCCTCTGCTCCCTCCCTCTTTTCGCCATCCTGGAGTCACCTGACTTCCATCCGGCTGTCACTCTTCAGCACTCCCTCCCTTGAGTGTCTTCCATGGGCCATTTTTCTTCTTGGAATCTTCTGTCCTTGCAGCTGCTTCCTCCTTGTTATGAAGGGCTCAGTCCTCAGTCTTTTAAGTGCCTGTCACAGGAAATCTTTCCTGACATAAGCGCCAAAGTTGGCTCCTGCAGTGGTTCTGTATTTCATAGTGTATTGTCGTCTTGAAAGTCATTTGAAATGATTGTCTATTTACGGCTAACAAGAGGGCCCGGTTATTGTCTTCTTTACTATGGAATCCCAAGTTTATAAGTTTTGGCACCTAGTGGGTGCTCAATAGACATGACTGCATGCCTATCCGAGTGCAGATGTGCCTGCAAGCCTCGGGTGTACTCAATGGCAACTATACAGGTGCATCACAGGGGCAAGGGGGCAGGGAACACATTTGTTCACTCTCTTTGGGTGCTTTCCAGTTTGACCCCTCTTCCCTTTCCACGTCCTTGTTATTTCACAGACCTGGGCGGCTCTCGCCTGTACCCAGGCTCCACTGGGAGTGCTCGCAGCCCTAGCTCTCCCTACTCGGTGGAGACACCCTATGGCTTCCACCTGGACTTGGACTTCCTCAAGTATGTGGAAGAACTCGAGCGCGGTCCTGCCTCCCGCCGAGCTCCAGGCCCCCCGCACACACGCCGCCCGCAGGCCCCCCGAACTGGCCTTGCGGGGGCGCGGAGCCCAGGCGCCTGGACCTCTAGCGAATCCCTGGCCAGTGACGACGGCGGAGCGTCGGGCGCACTCTCTCCTGGGGCGTTCTCGGGGCTCCTGCTACCTCCGCTGTCGCCCCGCTCCTTCTCGCGCAATCCGCGCGTGGAGCACACGCTCCTGGAGACCAGCCGACGGCTGGAGCAGGCACAGGCACAGGCACGGGAGCACGCGCTCAGCCCGGCCCGTGCGGTCACGCGCAGCCCGCGTGGGTCGGGCCGTAGTAGCCCCGCCCCCAACCCCGCCCTTGCTTCACCCGGCCCGGCCCAGCTGCAGCTGGTGAGGGAGCAGATGGCCGTGGCCCTGCGGCGCCTGCGCGAGCTGGAGGACCAGGCACGCGCTCTGCCCGAGCTGCAGGAGCAGGTGCGCGCGCTGCGCGCCGAGAAGGCGCGGCTACTGGCCGGGCGCGAGCAGCCGGAGCAAGAAGCGGAGGCGCGCCCAGATAAGCTCTCCCAGCTTCGGCGCCTGACTGAACGTCTGGCCACCTCAGATCGCGGAGTCCGCTCCAGGGCCAGCCCCCGGGCTGACGATCCCGACGGGTTGGCTGCCAGGCGCAGCGAAGGCGCTCTGCAGGTCCTCGACCCGGTGTCTAGGACACCCGATGGGGAACCCCAGACTCGGGAGGCGGGCACCGAAGTCGTGCCCGAGACCCGAGAGGCGGATGCCCAGGCAGTACCTGAGACAGGGGAGGCTGGAGTGGAGGTGGTCCCTGACACTGTTGAGGTGGACACGTGGGTGACCGAGGAACTGCTGGGGCTACCTGAGGCTGCAGAGCGTGAGCTGGAGCTGCTCCACACCAGCTTGGAGCATCAGCGCGGGGTGAGCGAACTCTTGCGAGGTCGATTGAGGGAGCTGGAGGGGGCCTACGAGGCTGCAGTGGCCAGGCCTCAATCTCGAGAGGTGGCCACCCAGACCCAATTGGGTTGCACTGAAAAGACCACGCAGACCGAGCTCTCAGTGGAGAACCAGCCCAGACCAATGGCTGGAGACAAGGAGGTGGCCCCTGCTGGTGAGTTTCCTTTGACTCCTGGTTGAGCACTGAACTGCCAGGTCGCTGAAGTCAAACTCAGTGGTGCCCTTATGTGATTCCCTGCCAGGCATCCTCAAATCCATCATGAAGAAAAAAGACGGTACTCCAGGTGCCCAATCCAGTCAGGGACCCAAGAGTCTGCAGTTCGTTGGGGTCCTCAATGGAGAGTGAGCGCAAACCCTTTCCCAGGATAGCATTCACAGGGACACAGGCTCATCCCAGCTCTGCCCTTCTTGAATGAGTCAGCGGGCTCAGCAGATGCTTCTCATCCTGTTCCCAGGTATGAGAGCTCCTCCAGCGAGGATGCCAGTGACAGTGACAATGAAGATGGCGTTGCTGAACTCCCCAGGAGTAGCTCTTCTGGGTCAGGCGATGATAGTGGGGGATCTGACGCTGGAACTCCTGGCCCCGACAACGACCAAGACTCAGAACCTGAGGCACAGCTAGAGCCGAAGGCAGGGACAGAAGGGAGGTGAGCGTTCTTCAAGGGCCTGTATTGCAGAGACCCTCTCTTCTGGTCACCATAGCCCAGGATCCTGAGTCTAGACTGGCCTCCCTGGCAGGTGTGAACTGAGCCCGCGTTTGAGGGAGGCATGCATTGCTCTGAATCGACAGCTGATCAGGCCTCGTGGAGTTGCCAGGGATGGTGTGAGTGTGGGCCCTACCTCTCCTCCCTGACATGCTTCGTGAGAGTGCACGGTTTCCTAGAGCTCTCCGAAGAGATACTTGCCTTCTAGGACAGCTCTTACCTTTTCTTGGACTGTCCACCCACAGCCCTAAGTAAAGATCAAAGCTCTGGACCTATTCCACAAAACTTAAAGAGCAAGTGGGCACTCACTGCTACACTCACATAATCCTGTTTCCCCAGAATGTAATCTTTTTGAGTCTAGGAACCTCACTGACTGTATTTCCTTCTTGAAGAGGGTGTGGTCCAACCCTCTCTACTTAGAAAGCATGGGTTTTGCTTTGCTTGCCAAGATCACCACAGGGGTCTCACACACATCCTTCTCTGTCCCCCGCCCCGCCAGAACGCAGCACGCCTTGTGGCCCAGGAATGGTTTCGAGTGTCCAGCCAAAAGTGCTCTCAGGCTGAACCTGTGGCAGGGGTGCTTCGAGGGGTGAAGAGCCTGGGGCCTGAGCTGCTGGCTCATGTGGTGAACCTGGCTGATGGCAATGGAAACACAGCCCTGCATTACAGTGTATCTCACAGGAATTTGTCCATTTCCAGCCTGCTACTGGATACAGGTCAGGCAATTTGTGAAGAGGGCCAGGGTGGGTGAAGGCTAGTGTTGAGCCGCATAGGAAAATGCGGCTACATTGCTGTTCACGGGGCCAGAAGTCAACACTGGGTGTTTTCCGCTATGACTCCCTACTGTTTTCTGAAAAAACTTCCCATTGAACCTGGAGCTGTTTGTCCAGCCAATCCCACCTGTTTCCATCTCCCTAGCTTTGGGGGTTACAGACATGTGCCAGTGCTCAGCTTTATGAAGGTACTGGGGATAATTCCTTAGGTTAGAGCACATTTAGTGCTCTAACCCTCTGAACACCCAGACCTAAGTAAGGTCTTGTATGGCCCTTGGCTGGCTAAAAGACCTTTTACCTCACTTTATCTTCTTCAGCTGTCCCGAGTCAACTCCCCTACCCCCAACAATTGAAATGCTGAGATTTCAATTTGGCACCCCCTCCCTGGGTACACTGTATTCCTTAATCTCCAGGTCTGGCACTTCCTGAACTCACAAAAGGTCCACCTGTTTCTGCTAGGATTAAAGAAATGTGCCACCATGCCTGACTGCTTCCCGAGTTCTTGGGTCCCACTGTCTATTCTCACTGCTTAGGTTTCTGACTATAATAAAGCTATTCTCATCTTATTCCCCCACAGCAGCAAATACACCTGAAACTACTCTGGTTACCAGGCTGGTCTCAAACTCAGAGATCCACCTGCCTCTGCCTCCCCAGTGCTGGGATTAATGGTGTGTGCCACCACCCCTCAGCCAGGTTTTTGAGACAAGGCACAGTGTGTAGGGCTGGGACTATGTACCTCAGTCTTTGAGACTGCAGAGCTTTACCAGCTGCCAATCACACTGGCACATGTATGCAGCTGGCCAAGTGACTGGGGGGCTTAGTTTGGCTGGTAGTTTTGCCCAGCAGTCTCAGTGCTGGAGGTGGACGCCTAGGCTATATGAGATGCTCACCCAACATCTGTGATGCAGGGGACTCAACACTGCCCCATTCCCCAACCAATCAGCATTTGATGATGGGTGAAGTGACAGACCTCTCTACTTTGCAGGAGTCTGTGATGTCAATCATCAGAACAGAGCCGGCTATTCTGCACTCATGTTGGCTGCACTCACTTCTCTAGGGCAGGAGGAGGAAGACATGGCTGTGGTCAAGAGACTTTTTAGCATGGGTGATGTCAATGCCAAGGCTAGTCAGGTGCATGGAAAACTCCCACTCACAATGGTGGATAAAATGGTGTTACTTCCCACTTTCAAACCTCTTTTCCGTATTTTCCAGACTGGGCAGACAGCTCTCATGCTGGCTATCAGCCACGGCCATCAGGACATGGTAGCTGCCTTGCTGGAATGCGGGGCTGATGTCAACGTACAGGATGCTGATGGTGCCACAGCACTGATGTGTGCCAGCGAGTACGGACGCCTTGATACAGTTCAGTTGCTGTTGGCCCAGCCAGGCTGTGACCTAACCATCTTAGACAATGTGAGCCACCAGTAAGGGCCTAGAGTAGTGGTGTTGCATCCCACTGCAGACCAGGGACTTAATGTCATATTATTTCCCAGGAGGGGACAAGCGCCCTAGCCATTGCACTGGAGGCAGAACAGGATGAGGTGGCTGCACTGCTCCACGCTCACCTGACATCAAACCATGACGTTCAGGTGAGTGTGGCCCCCAAGAAACACAGATGCCAATGACATTCAGAAGCTTTTCCTAAGAACAAAGATGGAGAACCTCTGCCTGCATTATACCAGAAAGCTCCTACTATTTGATGTTTAATTAGTAAAACTGAGGTAAACACAACTTTAGGTTAGGATCACACACACACACGGGATAGCCTAGCTACCTGTTTTGGGAAAGGAGCCCTTTGCTGTACAGAGAAGGAGCTCAAGCGCCAAACCTGGAGGCTTGGCGACAACGAAGTGTGCCCGGGAGAACACACCCTATGGGTAGAGCATCGGACAGCAAGTGCTGGGTTATCCCTGGCATTTATATCTACTTACCTAGTTGGGCCCACCCCACTCTTACCCTGACGTAAAGTGGGAATGGGATGTTTCCTACTTTTACATCCTCTACCCCCCCTTTCCCCACGACTGAAACTCCTGTCTACAGACCCTCTTTCTTTGTTCTAGGGTCAGTCTCCCCCAGGCACACCCAGCTGAAGGATACAGTGACAAATGACCCAACCTCTTTTAAGCAGCTGCTACCCTATACCTGGACTGCAGGAGATACTTTCCTCTTATGTCTGAGCTTCTGAACCACAGGAGGGCACCTTGTGCAGATGCCTGAGTAATGATATAGCTCTCAACCCACTCACTTCATAAAACATCATTCCCAATAAAGCATTCCTACTGAACTTGTATTTCATGTGGTTGACAGAGTCTCCTGTCTGCAAGACACACCTATGGAAGGGGCTTTCAGAGTGCACAAAGAGCGGATGATCTGAAGACACTACCCTGAAAAACCATATTCAGAAAGATTCCAAGTTCTAGACCAGCCTAGGTACAAGAGGGGGAATAAACAAAAAACCCCTAAGTGGACAACCCAGACAAGAGTTAAAACAATACAAATGCTTTATTTAATAGTCGCAGGTCATCATGGGCCAAGTGGTGGATACTCAGGACCCTGTAAACAGACCCAAACATTAGACAGAGAACCTTTCCTGACACCTTCTAGCAAGTAGCAGTCATTCCCAAGGGTTGCCGTGTACCCACCAGCAGGAAAGCAGGAAGGTCAACGTAATCTCCGAGCCTCCCTTTCTGACTCCAATAGGGTGAGCACGTCTCCCTCTCGAACGGGACCTTTGACGTTTCGGATGATGGAGCGGCTGGTGTCATCCATAAATTCCACACGTACCTATGGACCCATTAGAAGAGTTAGGTGCTGCTACTTACTAGTGGGGTAGAAAGGTGATAAGGACCCAGAGGACGTGTAGAGCCAGAGCTTGGGATAGGCGAGATGGTTCAGCAGTCCCCAGCACCCACACAGCTGACTAATGGTCTATTTAACTCCAGATCCAGGGTAGTTTGACCCGCCCATCCCTGAATACTCGATCAAGTGGTACAGACACATAAAGTGGAAACACATCCCCCACTACCAAGAACCTGGGACAGTTGCTGAGTTAACACAGCCCCTCCCCACCTCCAGTGTTTAGGATTATGTCTTTGGGCCTGCCACTCAGACTATGTCAGGCTGGCCCAGAAATAGATACCTCAGCCTCTTCAGGAAGCTACGATGGGAATCCCGGATATAAATCAATCTTTTTTCCCCTAGGAGAGTAGTCAAGGCATCTCTAGCCCAGGACGGCCTCTCTACCATTTCTGGTTTATGTGGTGCAGGGGACCCAAGCCTTCCTTGCACGCTAGCCAAGTGCTCTACCAATCGTGCCCCAGCTTTTTGGGGGACTAGATCTCACCTATTCTGTAGCCTAAGCCTGCCTGGAACTCCTAGGGATCTTCCTGTCTTAATACCTCTGGAATTACTGGCATGGGTTATCGCTCGTTTTTAGTACGGGTGCAGTACTCAGTCTGTGGGTATTGCGTATGTTAAGCAAGTCTACTACTGAGACAATAGTTCCTGCTCACTCCATCTCTTTAAAAATAAAACCTTCAGAGACAGTCTCACTAGCGTGCCCAGGTTGGCTACTAAGCCCTATCCTCAATGATCCTAGAAGGTCTCCAAGTCCAGCAGTAAACTGAGTATTGAGGTGGGTTCCGACCCCAGGAAGTTGCCGGGTGTCCCCATGCGCTCACCTGCGTGCACTGTCCCTGCGAACCGGTCCTGCCCAGCACTTTGGTTACCTGCAGGAAATCAGAGCCAGTTAGACCGACAGACCTAGCTTTCTTCCGTCTCCTTTATCCAGGCTTCTAAACACCCGCAGTCACCTCTTACCCTAGCGAGCTTGATGGGCTGCACGCGACTCGTGTCCATGATGGCGGCGAGCAGGCGGAGAGAGGTCACGTGAACAGGGGAGCGATTTTATAACACGCTCTTGACCACGCCCCACTCCCGCTCTCGCGAGACCGCACGCGCTACCCAGCAGTCCTGGGGCAGTGTCGTCACCAGCGTCCTTCGGAGCGGAAAGAACATGGCGTCCGCTACTCGCACCATCCAGAAGCTGCGGAACTGGGCGTCTGGGGTGCGTGTTCCTGTCCGATTGGGGCCGGAAAGGATTTGGGTTCTGTGTTCCCCCGAGTCCTCTCCTGTTCCACATCTCCTTAGTTCTGTGGGGGGAGTCCGGGACTCAAGGTCCTGTTACTGGGATTCCCTTGTCCCCATACCTTGGCTCTAGATCGCCCGGCTTTAGCTTCCTGCTGCCCCTCCATTTCCGCCCGTTTCTCCCTGCCTCACTTGTCTCCCACGAACCACTCAGTCCCGGAGTTTTCTCGTCCCCGTATCATTGCTTTTGAATCTTGTGGCCGTAGCTTTTTCTTATTTTGAAAAGTCGAGGACGAGTTTATAGTTTCGGAAGAAAACGAAAAGGTCAGGGAAGCAGTAGATTTCGGCAGCTCCTGGGAGACAGGAGATTGGAGGTGGACAAAAGGCGGGGAGGTAGCTACGCCTTTTACGTTAGGGTCCAAGAAAGGAGGCATATTCCGCACTGCAGGTCAGCAAGCGACTATTTAGGTGTGTGGCTCTTCAGAGAAAGTGAGAATTCCCATAATGTTAGGGGGAACATGTTTACTATATTGACCCATATATAAAATAGATAAAAGGAGAAGGAAAAGGCTTTTTTTGTTGTTGTTTGTTTTTGTTGGGTTTCTTTTGAGACAGGGTTTCTCTAGCGTTGAAGCCTGTCCTGAAACTAGGTCTTGTCGAACAGGCTGACCTCGAACTCACAGATGCACCTAACTCTGCCTCCCGAGTGCTGGAATTAAAGGCGTGCGCCACCGCCTAGCAAGAAGGAGGCTTTTTCTTCCTTCCTTCCTTCCTTCCTTCCTTCCTTCCTTCCTTCCTTCCTTCTTTCTTTCTCTCTTTCTCTCTCTCGCTCTCTCTCTCTCTTTCTTTCAGACAGTGTTTCTCTGCAGTGCAGTTTTGGAGCCTTTCCTGGAACTAGCTCTTGTATACCAGGCTGGTCTCAAAAGGAGAAGGCATTTAAAGTATTATCTTGGAAAGATTCGGAAACTTAGCAGTAAAGTTCTGTAAGCCACTGCCCCAGCTTTCTTTTCATCTTCAGGGCCTGTATCCATACCCTGACTGGCCACCCCTGTTCACTACCCCAATCCTGGGCTTCCCAGCAGTCTGACTTCTCTCCTTTTCCCACAGCAAGACCTGCAGGCGAAGCTGCAGTTGCGCTACCAGGAGATCGCCAAGCGGTGAGCAGGCCCTGCTTGCTGCCAGCCTCACCCCCTCATCATGTCACCAAACCTAAATCTGAGGCTGGTCGTGGTGGTCCAACCTTAAACTCAGCACTCAGGAGACAGAGGCAGGCTGATTACTGTGAATTCAAGGCCTCCTAGATTTACTTGGTGAGTTCCAGGCCAGCCAGGGCTACATAGTGAGACCCTGTCTGGAAAACAAACAAGTGAAAAAACCTCAAATTTATTATTCTGAACTTTCCTTGGAGCATTGGGCAGAGATCCTTCTTGCCATGCTGTGGAAGCAGAAGTTTACTTCACTGGGTTGCCTTGAAAATAGTTAGGAGATAGATTACGTTATTTGTTGTTATCTTGGGCAGATTTGCAATCTTCATTGTGACCCTACACTTAAAGTGCTATATTCTCAAGCATTTGAGGAGAAAATGAGACCCGGGTAGGCTGTCATTGCTTTAAGTTACTTAGAGACCAGTCTTGGTTTTTGAACACATTTATATTGATGAGTCTTTGCGTGTCCTCAGACTTTGGGATGCCAGTGTAAACAAGAAAGTTCTTGGTTTGTGAGGCTGGTGGCACTCAGCCTGGTCTCAGAGTTGTCACGTAGCCCAGAGTGTGCCCTACACTCACGATCCTGCTTCTGTCTCAAGTGCGGGCGTTTCAGGCATGTACCACCACACCAGTGTGACGTGGGCTGGGGACAACTTCATGCATGCCAAACGCTTGACCAACTGGACTACCGCTTAAATTCCTTTCCTTGCCTTTTTTCCTTAAAAATAGTTTAGATTTATTTTTATATGTGTGTATGTATGTATGTGTGCTTAAGTGTTGTGCCTGCTTGAGTTTATGTGTATCATGTGTGCCTGGTACCTGTGGGGTTCAGAAGAAAGCAGGAGATCTTTTGGAACAGAGAGATGGTCGTGAGCTGCCTCGGGGAATCAAATCCTGGTTTTCTGCAAGAGCAGCGGTGCTCTACCCAATGAGCCATCTCAGTAGTCTCCTACCTTTATTTCTTATGGGGCTGTTGTCTGGGAGGGAGAAATATTGCAGGGAAGTAAATACAGGATACACAGTATTTTTTATTGATTAATTAATTTGTATTTTAATTGAGACAGGTCTTAGCCTGAGCTGGTCTCTAACTCTGATCTCCTGCCTGCCACATGCTGGGTTCACTGGGTTTGTGTGACTACGCCTGTCCAGAGGCAGGGTCTTACACTGTAGTCCTGGTTGGCTTGGAACACAGGCTCGGTGATGATGGTTCAGCAGGTACCAGGATTACAGGCCAGGAACTAACAGCGTCTCTAGGATAAGGGCGCCCTCTAGTGATTCATTTGGGTTTTGGCTTTAGACAACTGGTTCTTTTTACTTTGCTGTATACAGATGATGAAAGCTATCAGGCAAATTATAAATTTCACATATTGCTTGTCCTTTTAGAATTTTAAAATTGTCATTTTTTTTCTTTTAAAATTACTGCATTTATTTTGTGTGTAAGTCAGAGGAAAAGTGTGTGGTGTTTTTTTTTTTTGTTGTTGTTGTTGTTGTTGTTGACAGGGTTTCTCTGCAGCTTTGGAGCCTGCCCTGGAGCTCGCTCTGTAGACCAGGCTGGCCTCGAATTTAGGTAGTCAGGCTTGGCCATTGCTTTATTTTTCTTTAAAATTTTTTTTTAAAGTATTATTTTGTGTGTGGGTGTTTTATGTGTATGTATGGCTGTGAACCACATGCATGCAATATCTTGGAAGCTAGAAGGCGTTGAGATCCCCTGGAACTGGAGTTGTGAACAGTTGTGAGCCACTGTGTGGGTGCTAGGAATTGAACCGTGGACTTCTACAAGGACAAGTGCTAACCACTGTGCATCTCTCCAACCCCCATTGTTCTCTTTAGAAGACAGGCATTAGGATGTAGCTTAGACTGTCCAGGAGCTGATTTGGCTAGGCTACTCTTGAGCTCTGGACCTTCCTCCTATTTTGGTCTTTTGAGTACTGAGATTACAGTGGTACATCCAATGTTCAGCTATATTTCTCATTTTATCTTACATTTTTTATTTTAATTTTAAGAATATTTTTGGCTGGACAGTGGTGACACACACCTTTAATTCCATCACTCAGGAGGCAGAGACAGGCAGATCTCCTGCGTTTGAGTTCAGCCTGGTCTACATAGTGAGTTCCAGGACAGCTAGGACTGTTACATAGAGAAACCCTGCCTTGAGAAACAAAAACAAAAAAATAGCAACAACAACAAAAAGTTTTGTTTTTGTGGCAGGGTTTCTATGTGTAGCCCTGGGTATCCTGGAACTTGCTTTGTAAACTAGTATGGTCTTGAAGTCAGAGATTTGCCTTACTCTGCCTCCCAAGTACTGGGATAATAGGCATACACTACCATGTCCGGCTAATCTTAGGAAATTTTTTAAAATTATTTTTTATTTTATGTGTATTGCCTGCATGTGTATACGATTTTGGATTTGTAGACAGTTGTGAGCTGCCATGTGGGTGCTGGGAATTGAACCCAGGACCTTTGGAAGAGCAGTCAGTGCTCTTAACCATTGAGCCATCTCTCCAACCCCTAATCTTAGGAAATTTTAAGCTAGATATAGTGATGTAGGCCTTTAATCCTAGGACTGAAGTGCAGATGAAGGTGGATCTCACAATTTGAGGCCAGCGGTCTTGGTCTACATAGAATTCCAGGACAGCCAGAGACTCTGTCTCAAACAAACAAACAAAAACAACAAAAACAACAATTTTTAAAAAGGTTTTATTTTATGTGTTGTTGTCCGGACATGTGTAAGGGGAAGTGCCTGTGTGCGTGCAGAGGCCAGGAGAAGGCACTGGGCTCCTGGGTTTGGAGTCACAGGCATTTGTGGGATGCTCTGCTTGTTATGTGTGTGCTGGGGTCTGCACTCTGTTCCTTATGATTGTATAGCAGTCTCCTCACCGCTGAGCCACTCTGTAGCCCTTGTATTTTGTATTTTTGAAACAGTCTCATGAAGCCCATGCTGACTTGGAACTCATGTTGTGTAGAATTACCTTTAACTGATTCTCTTGCTTCCAACTCTCAAGTACACTGACATGTTTCTTATTTAAAAAATAAAATGGCTTTCAAATTTTTAAGAGCTTAAAATTGCCAGGTAAAAATGCTGTTTGACAATATGGCCAAATAAATTAAACTCAAAGCTCTTTATGATCACCACTCTTGGTCCCAAGAAATTCCTCTCTTGTTTGAAGCTCTGTGATTCCTTTCAAGGCTTTAGCTTTCTTGTGAGCCCAGGGTTTAACCCAGGCCGGACTGAGCTTTGTCCCATGTAACCCTCCACCTCCCTCTGCGGGGAGTGTTGGCAGCAGACTACACAGTGGCAGGAAGTGCAGAGACTTGGACAGGTTCCCAGGGCAAGGTGTTCTTTGAGCAGTAAGCCTTTATCCCAGCAGGACTCTTCAAAGGGTTCCTGAGATAACAGGAAACTTACAAGGTCTATAACCTGGTCTTTGGGTATTGGGAGCTCAGGGAAGTCACTTCAATCGGGTATTCTGGGACTGTGGCTCAGTGTTATGAATTGTAATTGCTGGAAAGGGGGGTTACTCTCTTCTGATTTCCCGAGCACCTTTAGGTGGAGGAAAGGTCGCTACTAATCTTAGCTTTGTGTTGAGGTTAGGGGCATGTCTAGGACTCTGTCTTGGGAAT